TGCTTGGATCACGGGTGTGTACCACCATGCCTGGCTACACTTCTCCTTTTTAGGGCAGGAAGAATATGATTTTGTGTCACTACAGAAAGGATCTTCACTAGTAATTTAGATCTTTCCCCAGACAAACAGAAATGGATTAGTCCATTCTGAATCCTCGTGCCCAGAAGGCAGCACATCTTGCTCACAGAAGGGCTAAAGTCAGGCAGATCCTGGCAGGCCCTGGGATATGACTCCCATAGGTGCCCAGGTGTGAAGGACATACCTGAGCAATGAGAACCTTTCCTCTGAACCACCTCTGGGATTAGCACATAAAATAGACAGCCTGCAGGATTAAGCAACCCAGTATGATGTCCTCATCTGTAAAACCGAAGCTCTTCTGATGTTGTATGAGCAGTAGGTGGGGGAAAGGAAGATTAGGGCTTGGCATAAGGATGTTTAGAATGTTCTATGAGTGGTCCTCGGGCTTCTGGAAGGTAGCATCTGCCCCAGGTGGGAGGAGGCAGGAGGGCCATGGGAGCCTTGGGAAAAGACATCAAAGCTCCAACTTCACAAATGAGGGTTAGGTAACTCTGACTCTGTGCAAGTCTCACAGCTCCCCAGTGATGGCAGGGACAGGGTGGGCTGAGGTGGGGAGACGTGATCTGGCACCTGAGTCTTGGCACTAGAGGTTGAAGCTGTGTTTACTGGGAAGTGAAATTTCTGTCACTTTGCTTCAATGGAAATCAATCAAGTGTGCCATTTGTTCTGCACACACCATCATGTAGAACAAACAGCAGTTTGATTGACGGGAGCTTCCGTTTTCAGCTGCTTGCTTTGGCATCTTGAGTGAAGGACCTGAGATTGCTTCCGAATCTAGCAGTGACAATCATTTGGCAGTTGCTCTGCCCAGGTTCTCTGGACCCACACAAGCCTGCTCCATGGCCTCAGTAGGTGAAGGGAAGGACTGGATGGCCACAGAGCTGGAGCCGTGTATTCTGGACCACTCCAGGAGTTGAGATTCTGTGGCATGTGATCATGTTTCTGTAAAGTTAATTCTTGATATGTGCTTTGATCACTGAATACAATAAATGTTTTTCAGGACTCCTCCTGTGCCTATGTTCATAATTCAAGAGAAAAACATTCGTGAGGTCATAAGGCAGAGTTTGGGGCTCAGGAAATCCAGTTGCCATTATGACAGACGTAGGCTGAGGAATATGGAAACTACAATATTCACTCTGAAAGCTTTCCTGCAAACTTCTCTAAAGTCAGGGCACGAGGAATGTGTTCAGGTCAGTGCAGCAAGGCACGGGAAGTGCAGGAATGAGTGTGCTGCACCCGGGAAGTGCAGGAATGAGCATGCTGCACTTGCGCCGTGGGCCTGCTGTAATGGTGTGTGTGGTTTTTAGAAAGTAGAGGCCTTGTGGTTCTCACAGCGTGGCTAAGCTACCCTCCAGGCAGGGGAGAGTTCCCCACACAGAGCCTGAAGGAAGGGGTGCTGAGGGAAGGGCCACTGGGCTATCCGAAAGGACACCTTGTTGGCAGGCTTTGCAGGAGACCAGGCAGTGCCTCCTGCTGTCTGGTTGGTTTCTTAAACATAAGGCTCCTTCTCCCTTTTGACATCTCAAGGGCTTCCGGGTGTAGCAGGAGGGGAAGGCCCCAGGAGAAGGCAGAGGACTGACAACGCAGAGACAGGAGAAGCCCATTGGGGGCTTCCAAAAAGGTCCCTCTCAGCACCTGGGCATGTGTGGTCCTTGCATGGCTGCCCTGCTTTATGGGCATGACAGAGGCAACAACACTAATTGGCAGACTGGCTCTCTTTGTTGGGCTTTGACCAGTCAAGTTTATGACTTTGGACTGAACAGTCAGCCCCGATATAGTAAATTTTTGGAAAATAGAGTAGGGCTGGTGAGTGCGATAGGCTTAAAGGGTAGATTACAGACTTCTAGATAACAGTGCTGCAGCAACTAATGCAAAATGCCACCAAACACACACTGCAAGCTAGAGACCCAGGGTCTGCAGTTCTCACAGAAATCTGAGCTGCACAGCATTGAGTAGAAGGCTGGCCCAGCATGCTGTAGAGCACTGAGCACGTACAGCCCAGGAGACAGACCATCACACACCTCAGTTTCAGGTGCAGGAGTGCCACAGTGTTGGAGGCCACGCACAGGGTTCAGGGTTCTGAGAGATAGAGCCAGGCTGTGAGCTTCCCCTTAATACCACTGGCTTTGGAGGAGGCTGTACACAAGCATCTGTGGGTTTCCAGATCCCAGACCTGAGGGGAAACAGGGAATGGAATCCAAGGTCTTGAACAGCCTGCTGTGCACTGGTTTCCCGGCTGCTATCTGTCGTGGGCTCTGGTTTGGCTTGACCAAGTTCAAACACCACCCCACATCCACCCCAGGAAAAGGCAAAGTATTGAAAGGGATTCTTTCTCTTTTATTGTTGTGAAGGACGAGATGGCAAGGGCTGTTATTCCTGGTCCCTTTGACCATGCTCAAAAAGAGAGGATACCTGTGACCACTTAGGGGCTCTCCTGGCCCCTAAGAAGGAAATGACCAGTCGTCTGTCTTTCCATGGAACCAGCTTCCACATTGGAACTGACATTCTGGGTCTGATTTGTGGTATAGAGCTACTTTCTCCCCAAACATGTTCTCCTTTCCTTCTTTCTTTCCTTTCTTTCTTTCTTTCTTTTCTTTCTTTCTTTCTTTCTTTCTTTCTTTCTTTCTTTCTTTCTTTCTTTCTTTCTTTTCTTTCTTTCTTTCTTCCTTTCTTTCTTTCTTTCTTTCTTTCTTTCTTTCTTTCTTTCTTTCTTTCCTTTCTTTCTTTCTTTCTTTCTTTCTTTCCTTTCTTTCCTTTCTTTCTTTCTTTCTTTCTTCTTTCTTTCTTTCTCTTCCTTCCTTCCTTTCTCCTTTCTTTCTTTCTTTCTTTCTTTCTTTCTTTCTTTCTTTCTTTCTTTCTTTCTTTCTTTCTTTCTTTCTTTCTTTCTTCCTTTCCTTCCTTCCTTCTCCTTCTTCCTCCTTCCTTCCTCCTTTCTTTCTCTCTCTCTCTCTCTCCCTCTCTCTCTCTCTCTCTCTCTCTCCTTCTTTCTTTCTTTTTTTTTGTGCAGTACTGGGGCTTGAACTCAGGGTCTTCATCTTGGGCCACTCTGCCAGCGCTATTTTTGTGAAGGGTTTTTCGAGATAGGGTCTCACGAACTATTTGCCCGAGGTTGGCTTTGAATCGTGATCCTGTTCATCTCTGCCTCTTGAGTAGCTAGGATTACAGGCATGTTCCCATTTCTTAATGCAGGTCCCCCAAAGCAGTCACTGGACAGATATTTAGAGGGCACAGAGAACAGATTTCAGGGTGGCTGTTGATTGAAGACCTGGGTATCCAGAGTCCACCTGCCTGGGATGCAACCCCAATGTAATCCTAATGGCTGGGCAACCTTGGGAAAGTTCCTACCCTCTCTTTCCCTCAGTTTCCTTATCTATACAGTGAGAAGAGCAGTAATAGTTCCTGCCTTCCAGGGCTGTTTAGAGAAATTTTAAGA